TGTCTTAATAATCACAATAAAATAGATATAATATAATAACATATTTTCATAAACCATTTAAAAATATCTAAATAATCAAAATATACTAAAAGAAAAGAATGACAAAACGGGACACAACGGACAGGAAACTGACGTAATAAGATAAGACAAAACATGACAAAACAATTCATAACAGGACAAGATAAACAAAACATGACAGGACAAGACACAAAAAAGACATGTCAGGACAAAACAAAACAAAACGAAGCTGCACACAACAGAAGTGAGAGAGAGAAGGGAGAGAGAGAGAGGGAGAGAGAGAGAGAGAGAGAGAGAGTGTGTGTGTGTGTGTGTGTGTGTGTGTGTGTGAAACAGGGGAGATGTGAGAAGTTTAACCTGTAGGAGACATATATTTTTGTATTCAATTCTTTTTTAACCCTCTACTAAAACTATAATATGTGGGTTTATTTCTAACTGGATCTGAAAGACAGTTCCAAAGTTTTGAGCCTGAAAATACAAATGATATATTTGGGTTATAGAAATTCTACATAATTATTCATCATTATTTTCCTCTTCTTTTTCCTCCTCTTGTTCTTCTTCTCCTTCTTCTCTTTTTCCTTGTACTTAATATCATTTCTATCATCAGTTCAATGTTGTTATTATTATTATCATCATTATTATTGTTAATAAGTTTTTGTTATCTGTCTGTAAATATTACTATTTTAACTAATTCGTTTTGTACATGTATGTCGGGGACCCCACTGGAAATAAACTTTCGAGCTTTCTAGGGTTATCCTATTCAAACTGACTTAATTTTGATCTGTTATTCTTGTATATTGTTGTATGTTGGAATATTGGCTAATGAAAATCAACCAATCAACCAATCATAAATATACCAGAACATGAGAGGTCTCATGACAACAGATTACATACGAATGCTTTTGAAACAACTTGAGAATTTAGGGAAAAAAAGAGATATTGCGGGTTATGCCACATCGGACAGCTGCCGTCTGATATTCAGGCGAATCTACTTCAAACTGAACAAAAAGGTTAAAGTCCGAAGATTTACTGAGCGGAATATATCTCAACTAATCGAGAACTTAGAATCCGAAAATTGAGAAGATGTTTTATCGTGCAATAACACAGAGGAAAAGAAAACAATTTGATACACAGGACCAAACTACTGGAGCAACATGAATCTGAATCTCAAACAGCTTAAAAACTGTGACAGCTTCAAAAATCATTTAAATTGTTATTAGTGAGTTGGTACGTGTATTAAATGAACAACTATACTTTTATCCCGATTGTGACTCCCACCCTTGAATATTCTATTCTAAAACTTCGTTTTCTCTCTTCTCATTCTTCTTCTGACCCCCTCTCTTTAACTTTTTTTCATGTTTATCTTCTTTCTTACATTCATCATCCATATCATTTCATTGATTTGTCTGTATATTTTGCTTTTAATTATTATTTATCTACCTAATTATGAATGACACTGTGTCAAAATTATTTTGAGGAACTTAAAGTCTACAGGGTATATGCTTTTATCAAGTTCCTTTTTCCACAGGTAATTTCGAAATTATTTAGTGTAAATGCAATACAAACTTAGATGTCTTTATTGTTCACGAGTGTAAAATATGCTATGTTTTCTTAATGTATTGTTGTTTTTTCATGTGAAATAAAAAAAAATAAAAAAAAATTACAAAATTTGGATCGTACTTCAATCATGTCTCCCAAAGCTTAATGATAGAATTAAAACAACATATTAACATATGGGTAACAAATGGAATTGTCACAGTCATAAAGAAAAGAAACAATCTGTATAAATCTAGTTTAAACCACCCTGCCCCTTCATATTTAAGTATGTATAGGAAGTATAGAAATAAGCTTTAAAGGCCATCCAAAAAAATTATATTTTTTCAAAAAAACTATAAAAAAACCCCGAAGGTAATATATCATCTACATGGTATGCCATAAGAGTCGTACACTTACTCAACAAGTCTTTGATATGAATGGTCACAAAGTAGATGAACCAGATGAAAAGGAAAATTAGTTAAAGTAAATATAGGCCTGACCAGGCTTCCAACAAAATCATGACTTTAATGAATTTCTCCCAAGGTCATCTTACCCTTCGCTCATTTTATATCCGACAGATTTTATTGAAATAATAAATGTTGTTCGCTCATTAAAATCAAGCCATTCTTAAAGCCATAATGACGTTAGCACCCATTTGATTTAAAACAAAATATAGGTAGTATCCTATCACCTCTGGTTTAAATTTTCATTCATTCCCTGTCTTCTGTTTTTGTTTCAACCCCTTTTGAGACAGCTAAAGTCATACCAATCTATATAAAAGATGAACGGCCGATATCCGTTTTACCAGGACTCTCTAAAATCCTTGAACAAATCATTTACAACAGATTATAACATTTTTAACTTGGAGAGCCAAATAATTATTATTATCAATACTTGGGACACTATCATTTTTGATATATGTCAATGGTATCTCTAATGTTCCACCAGTTCTACAGTATAAATTGTTTGCCGATAATATGAATGTATTCTAATCACATTCTGATTTAAATTCGCTGATCGCAACCATGAACATTAAACTACCTAAGTTATCACAATGGTTCAAAAGCAACACATTATCATTGAACCTACAGAAGACCAATTTTAATCATGACTGTACGCAGCGGGGGCTAGGGTAGGGGGCAGCCCCCACAATAAAAAACAAACAAAGAAAATGCAATAAGTTATCAATAATTCATCACATTTTCCCCTCGGTCTCCAACAGGAAAAATACCTCTGTACGGCCATGCATTGTGGTTTATGGCATGGCCACGCAGAGGAATTTGTAAAATGCGTGGGAGCTGCAATTACATAAGCTGAAACTAATTTAGGGTATGGAGAGATTGATAAATCCTATCTTAAAATTCGATATCATTGTAATTCCTGTAAAATTCAAACGAAACTAATGACTTATAAAAGATCATGCATATTAATTTGAACGAAAGTAAAATGACTAATTCTTCGCGATGCGAAACAGGTCGGACAAAATTAATAAAAAAATCTTTTTGGTTTTCATCTTTTCTAGATACAGAGTGGAAACTTTGCCAATCACTTAAATAGAATATGCATTCAGTGAGGTTTCTAGTTATTACGACAAGCTAAAAAGCAAACAGGAAAAAAAAAACGTTTTCATTTTGATAATAAAATACAGCTCCGTAATAAATAAAAAAAAAACATGCTGCCCGAATGATCAAGTTTTCGAGCTTCGCATTGCCAAGGATCTTCCTGCTTTAAGATTTTGAGAGCGAGTGAGAAAAAAAAATCTACGCATTGAATTGATTAAATGTTATTTCATCATCAAAATTCGCTAGTTTAGATAGCTATATTAGATAGCTTAGATATTATATTCAGACACTAAAACAGGGGGACATTCGGGCATGTATTGTGGGGATAGTTGGTCGAATATTGGAACTCATTTGGGGATTCCCAGTTCCTTCTTCACGTTGTAACAAAGCGGTGGCGTTGCGAATTAGGAATATAAACGGTTTCCTGCTTACTTCATCTCCAACTGTAGTACAAAAGTAACAAAAACTCTCTGGAGGAAGCATTGCCATGGATCTTCCTGCTTTAAGATTTTGAGAGCGAGTGAGAAAAAAAAAAATCTACGAATTGAATTGATTAAATGTTATTTCATCATCAAAATTCGCTAGTTTAGATAGCTATATTAGATAGCTTAGATATTATATTTAGACACTAAAACAGGGGGACATTTGGGCATGTATTGTGGGGATAGTTGGTCGAATATCGGAACTCATTTGGGGATTCCTAGTTCCTTCTTCACGCTGTAACAAAGCGATGGAGTATAGCGATAGGAATATAAACGGTTTCCTGTTTACTTCATCTCCAACTGTAGTACAAAAGTAACAAAAACTCTCTGGAGGAATAAAATAATATATGTTTAATATTCTTTAATAGTATCTCCAAGATACTAAGGCGCAATAAAGAGCATAGTAACGACAAATTGTCCAACCATTTAGAAACGCAAGCTGTTGGGGGCAATTCATGTGCAGCTTCGAACTGAAGCAAAACATGCAAGGGAGCGAAGCGAATGAGCTTCAGAAAACCCTCAAAAATATATATTACAATTTATCCTTCGTATCAGGGGTAGGGCATTATTGTGAAACATCATGAGTTTCCTTTTGATTCTCCCTTTCCTCTTGTTCTTGTTTGTTTGTTCGTTTTTCTTTTTTGCGTCCCCTCACTTATTCGTCTTTTTTGCGTCCCCTCACTTATTCGTCTTTTGCGCCGTCCTCAAGTGTCGCCCGGGGAACATATCCCTCCCCCTAGATACTCCACTGCATGCAACACTCAGATATATCCCGTTAAGATATTTGCAAACTATGAAATCTTTTACAATCTTGAAATTATTTATAACTCAATTTCATCTGAAGTACTGAAGACTTTAACATTTTACTTTTTGTCATAATTAATCGTTTGTCATTAATATATGAACATTGCATGGGACTGTTTTAGAAGTCTCAAACGATGTTTTTAGATGTTTCATCCAGAAAACATTAGCCTTGACCTAAAAAGTCAACATTACATAGCTATTTTCCCCACAGAGACAAAGAGTTGATTTCTCCTTTAGCAGTTTAGTACAATGAGTTAGTTCGGTATTTCCTTTTTGGGGACAGGGCCCGTTGGCATAATTTTATACTGACTTCATGTTAGAAAATTTCACGTAAAACAGGAAGTGGTTTCCGAAACATTCTCGAAAATTGTATACCTTCATTATGTTCGATAACATGTGAATGCGACGCACAAAAGTTTGCGAGTATAGGGTATATTTGTTAAATGTGTTCTTACTAATTCTTTGTGAAACTTTGTTCTTGAGATGATAAAATCGCTTCAACGATCATGTATATTAACACTATTGAATAAGAAGTGACACCTGTCCAGAGAGGGGCCGGGAAACCTACCCATCCTTGCCCGACTGTGTAGTTTCCGTTCTAAGCCAAGTTGGTAGTATTCGTTTTGACGTCAACTTTCTCTGCTCCTGTCGGGAATTTTGAATCTCGAAGCCTTAACAGTCGCCGGAGACCATCCTGAAACTTCTGGTACTTGAAAGTGTATATGAAAGGATTAATGCAACTATTAGCGAAATGAATGCACTGAACGGTCGCATTCTCGATGCCAGTTAAATTGATGTTAGCACCAAAAGCGTAAGATACGTACAGGAGATTGGAAGGTGTCCAACAAAGCAATGACGTCACCGTGACAATGATCATGGTTGTCATGACCTTCCTCCGGGCGATCTCTCGGTAGCTACCTGCAGCGCCTGCTTGTGGTCCTGCACCCTGGTCCTGAAACCTCCGAGTGGCGCTACCTCTCTTTAGAACATGCCCTATGTATGTGTAGATTGTAATCATGATGATGAGAGGAAAAACGTACAGAACGAGGATTGTTAGTCCGGATACAACTGCTGCAGTGTCCTCAGTTGGCCAGACCGGCCTCCGACATATTCCATTCTCAAGGCGTGAAGATGCGGGTAGGAACCAACTCCATCCCAAACCCGCAATCCAAGCTAGGGTAGATGCTACTATTGCTGGCTTGACGGTGATTTTGCTTCGATATCTGATTGGGTACCTGACTGCGTAGAATCGCTCAAAACTGATGAAGACCAAGTTGAAGATGGAGGCGTAATTGAGGGACCAAACGAAATAATGGGTGTACCAAAAGAAATAGAGATATCTTGCCAGTGCGGGACCAGCAGTCTCGAACGACGGTACACTGACGACGTCGAAAACGATGACGGAGAGAGAACCGAAGAAATCAATGAGGCTTTGGTTGGCAATCAGGAGATTGGTAGCATCCCACATGTCACGTGTATTTAAGAGGACAATCAGGACGAAACCATTGCCAAGAACACCGGTGATGCCGATGATGACGTGAAATATGTATATTACCGTATACCTCGGTAGGCTGTTTCGTATGTCTTCGGGAACATCCTCAGGAGCCAACATCAAGTTTAAATTTGTTGTCATTGCTTCGGTTATATCTTCAGTCATCTCCATGTTGACAAATAGATTTAAAAAAACTGGTTCAACCTTTAATACAGTGCAAGTTGAGAAACCTTTCGTATGGAAACCGCTTCAGTTTGTAATACTTTGTTACACGGTACAGACTTTTATATCTTTAGATCTCTTTCTATTTCAAAAATGACTCGATAAAGAGTGGAGTAAGTCAATCGTCAAATATCCGTAGAATTTAAGACCTACAAAATGACAAATCGCTCAACTGAAGTTGGTTCGTCTATAACGTTTTTTAAAAGATGTCTTGTATTTTCTTCTTGACAAAAGGACTTGAGAATCGAGAAATTATTTGAATAGTGTTCATGACATTGGCAGAATTCAACCAATTAAATCAGAGTCATCTGACTCTTTCAAGGATGCGGCGGTGGTATCTAACAGATGGTTGAGTGCAGTCAGTTCCTGTCTCCTGTGTCACATGACCCAGATTGTACAGATGAACGGGCATTAAAAGAAGCGTTATTACTTCCTCCTGCTCTATTGTTGTTTGTTCCAGCGGAAAAAAACTCTTTAAATGTCGGTTAAAAGTATTCAATGGCAGATAGAATTAATCAAATTTAAGATTTGTTTTCCTCATCTCAATGCCTGACCTCTATTCCGGGCATTCATGGCCAGGCATATCATTTTATTCATATATTGTCACGATACAATAATTTTTATCTTCGATCTCCCTCTCATTTTATGTCAAGACATAATTTGTTTTGGTCGTGTTTCATTCTTATTACGTTGCTTTTAGCGTAAAATACCCTCCATAGTTTTTGGTATTTTATGTGTTTAGGTTGCATGCATGCAATTTTTGGAATTGAATTTTTAAGAACGCTGAGTATGGATCAAAACCTATTTTGTTCCAGCACTTTTAACTCATTCGTGATTTATTTTGTATGTCTATCCATACCGATTTGTTTTCCTCTCCAGTGAATTGTATGATTGTTCTAATGTGTTTGTAATACTGTTTATTCCTTTGTTTAGATTTTTCAATTGTTTCAACCATGAATAAAATAACCTCAACATTTGCGTCAATACGAATCCCACTTCTTATGTATTTACTACTAATAGTGATAGATTTTTGTTGTCATCAAAATATACTCGATAAGACATGAAATTACATATACATCAAGGCTGTGTCTTTAAAGGAATTGAGATTGACATGATTCAGTCACAACTTGATATTTATGGGAATGGTATCCTCAAGCAGGCGCGTACGCAAGGTGGGGGGGGGGGGGGCTGGTGGTCGAACCCCCTCAATATTTTGTTTATGTGTGTGTTTTGTAGGGAAAAAAAACCTTCAATTTTTTTGGGGGGTGCTAAAGGTTGACCAAAATAACTGACCTTACCCCCCCCCCCCCCTTCCCCTCCTACTGAACGAAATATCGGTAGGCATAATTTTCCAATTTCCGGGACCCAAAAAAATATAATATGTGCTCTTCCCCCCCCCCCCCCGTTTATTCACCGGCTGGCCAAGTCGTTGCGAAATTTTCCCTCAAACCCCCCCCCCCCAAAAAAAAGTGCTAATATCGCCGCCCCCCCCCCCCGCTTATTCAGCGCCTGGCTAAGTCATTGCGAAATTTTCGTACGCCATTGTCCTCAAGAGATAGGAAAATGATTGAAAATCATATTGAACTGAATCCTCGATTGACACCATTGACATAATCTTGTTTCAACAAGACAAAAAAGGAGAAAAGAAAGTTAAACAGTTGATTTCATTTTGGATTTTTCTGTTTCTTTATCAAATTTAGGTCCGAAATTTGGAGATTGCAAAATTACCATTATTAGAGGACTTGCGATCGGTTTAAATCAATCACAACTCTTTATAAAACAGGGCTCCAAGCGTTTCGTTGCAAAATTAGCCAACATATTGAGGAAATTAACAATCTTACTAACATTTAATAGAGACATGGTAAAACTTTTCGTCTTGCATCATCAGGATAAACTTTCAGTATGTCTCTATTTCGTGCTATTCTTCGATTTTGGATTACCAAGCTTCTTTAGCAATCTTAATAAAAAGGAACGTTCAGCCTCCTCCTTCCTGGGTGCTAAATATGAATATTGATTTGAATAATGGAAATTACCTTCACAAGTATTGATATAGCTTCGAAAAGAATTAATTTCTTATTTTACGTCACAAACCTATACTTCTCTTATAAAAGGAAGGATCGTAATATACATGCAGTTGTTAAAGCCACATTGTTACATGTAGCTACTTGCTCCCTCTATATAGAAAACAATGCCTAATCGGTGACCATTGGTTCCCCATGATCCTCTTTTTTGTATGTTAATTGAGAGCTGAGTTGACCCTAGCCAAACTAGTACAGACGGTCTTTCAAAGTTATATAACAACATTGCTGTTTACATATGATGTAGGGGAGATTGAGGGTCTAACTCGTCAAGCGTCATAACTTCATTCAAATCAAGTTTCAAGTTTCAAGTTTCAAGATTATTTCACATTTCACAAATAAAAAGAATTCACATAATTGACAAAATTAGAACATAATCTGAAATATACTAAAAGTGTCATATTATATAATTAATTCTTTGAAAAGACGTCAAAATTAATTGTAATGAATATAGGTTATACAAAGTGAAATGTGAGGAACCTATTAAAAAGCTCATCTTGTAGATTATAGGTTCCCATAAATAAAACTAACATTTGGTTGAAGGGGTTGTAATGGTAGAGGACGTAAAATTAATAATAGGTGGGCAAGAAGCCTCGACATAAGATGATTATACAAAGTGAAACAAGCAAAAATAGCAAAAATAGCAAATACAGCAAGCAAATTAATTTGTTACCAAAAAAATGAGACGATAGTCACTTTAAAATATTGAAATCATTAAACGAGGTCATTGAACGAGGTCACCTGAGCGAGGCAGAACAATCATGTTACAGTAATGTATACAAATGGAGTAATGTATACAAATGGAGTAATGTATACAAATGGAGTAATGTATACAAATGGAGTAGACCATGGGCGGCGGAGCCTCTTTCAAAGTGGGAGGGGGCACCAACAGAAAATGGTGTTTTATGGAAAAAAGGGGCACCTACAAAGAGAATCTCAGAGCAAACATATTTTTGTTTAGACATTGGTATATACCCTACATTGTTTTTACATTTAATACCACGGATGATTTAAATGTTTGTTTCTCTCTTCACATGGTCGAAGTTACTGCTTAAGCATCATACTTTGCATTTGGGTGTGATGGTCTGACTAAATATTTGCGAGTGAGCTAGACGAGTGAACAAAATTGATTTGTGTGGTCGCAGCGCAAAAAAAAATACATCTTACAAAGAGGGGAAACAAATTCAGATGGGGTTTTAAGCACATTTTAATCATGAAAGTATGAAGAGATCCTTTTTTTTAAAACATCATTAGGCCTATATCAATTTTACATGCGAGCAAGCGGAGCGAGCGAGCTTTGGCTGAATTTTTTTGTAATGGTTCTTATTCGCTTTAAATTAGGAGCACGTTTTATGATGAAAGGAATATGGGGGGCATATCCAAATGAAAAACAGCACTTATTAGCAAAGAAAAAGAGCACATGTAAAGTAAACAGGGGAATTATCAGAGGTGAAAATGGGCACTTCTCGCACCTGATAAGGAGCACACACCAGAGACGAAGAAAGGTACTTCTGAGAACGGGAAAAGGACAATTATCAGAAGGTAAATGGCAATAACTAGAAAGGATAAGGGCACTTGTCGAAATGGATGGGGCACTTTTTAGAGATGAAAAGGCGCACTTATTAGAAAGAGAAAGGGGCACGTGTCAAAATAAAAGTGGATCTTGTCAGAGGTGTTAAGTGGCACTCATCAAAGATGAAAAGGGGCACTTATTAGAAGAAGAAGGGGCACTTATTACAGAAGAAAAGTCCATTTGTTAAAGTAAAATGGGCACCTGTCATATTTGAATACGGTTAATCACCATAGGTGAAGGGGGCACTTATTAAAAGTGTATTAGAGGCACTTATAAGAATCTGGAACGGACACCCATCAGAAATAAAAAGGGACACTTACCGTATGTATGAGGGGGCACCTTTCCTATGTAAACAGGGGCACTTTAGGGGTACTTAAAAATGTGGGGGGAATGTGCCCCACCCCCTTGCCTCCCCCGACTCCGCCGTCTCTCGATTTGACCGAAAGTTCATTGTCTCATTACTTATTAGCTTTTCTTTTGTTCCCGATCAATGCAATCTACACGACAATGTCTTTATTTACCCAACAAATAAATAACAGTTCTGTTTATTCATTGCGCTATTAGATCTCTAATTCGTTCGCAGTGATATCTTATACCTTCGATGTGGGTCACGTTTAACTACTTTGGACTCTGTATTTCATAAAATAGAGGTGGATTGTCAAGCAAGTGAGCTCCGATGTGTTTAAATACAAGGCTGATTGCAACCAATTACATAACCTCTTCTTAGACTAGAGAACATCAACGTATCGTGCTTGTGATAAGAACAGATCAGTAGCATTTCACTTGTCAAAAAGAAAAGGCTAAAAACTACCTGAACGCAGGATGGACGAAAAGTTGAAAAACGCGGACTATGACGCCGACAAAGAGGACAAGGATGACGTCAAAAATGGTGTTGGAGAGGTATGTTAAACAATGTTTCTAGTTTATCTATTCTAACATTTTTGAGTTATGCTCTCTCACATCATTTTTATATTATTTTAAAATATGTTTGACGATGTTGTATTTGTCCTATTTGTTTGAAAGTTCAGTGTGAGTTTCAGATCCAGGAGTATTTTACCAGGGGTATAATTATCTAAATATACAAGGGAGTAGGGGAAGGACCTGTCCTTTGGAATATGTTTCTGAATAGACGTATTCACTGGATTGTACCCATTTGCGGCCTTTTAGTATAGACATGTTGTAATCTACCGTTAATATAGACATTTTTAAATGTCCAATATTTATAACACCAGACTTAACAAATATTATATTTGTATATGATATAGGCCTATTGTCGGGTCATTTATTGCACCCATTTACCTTGGATAACGATTATCTTCTGCCCAAAGAAGTGGGCGTATCCCACAATATATAATGCGACAATAAGAATGTAAGGATTTTGTTGTTTAAGTCTAGTATTTTTGTAACAAACGAGTTAAGGTTTTATCTTAATTTACGTATAAGAATAATAAAAAAATACAAATTTAGATATAATATCATATATGTATTTCTTTGATTCGTATTATCGTCAAGATATTTTTAATTGATCTTCTCCTTTGGACTTTGCAGTTATTTATTCAGGTACACCCTTCCAGAAAAACAAAGCGATTTGTCAAGGAGCTCTTTGTTATATATTTCACAGACCATGTTCCATAGTCCTCCTTAGTTATATAATCAAAGAAAAGCATATTTGCAGATATTTACCATGTTGTTATTTCATTTATATCTAATTCATGTATCACCATTAATCAATTATTAAGTACATAACAGGGTCATAGTTCTGAACCTTTGAAAGAAACTACAATCAAACATTACAATGTGAATTTAATGATGTTTTAAAAGGTGAAAAATTCTCATTCTATACAAAGGAATAAACACTCCTCAAGAGCACAGTTGCAAACGGCTTCCATCAATCATGAGCAAATATTTCACCTGAGTTTGTTTTACTTGTGAAAAATTTCAGAGTTAATTACGCCTCTGAAAATCAAGGATCTATAAAACCTATTTGGCGTAATGTACTTTATATTACTTTGCCTTGTCTATTTTTCAAAAAATATCAGAGTCGGAGGGTGAGGGGTACCAAATAATGCTTGTTCTGTCAACGGAAAATTCGGTTATTATTCTGTCATACAATGTTATTCTTATGGTATATTTGCAGGGGCAACTTACTTTCATGTTGGTGCTATGTACTGCTACTGTGAGCATTGGATCCTCAGGAGAATTCGGCTACAACCAGGGAGTTATCACGGCTCCCTCAGTGGTGGGTTCAAGTATTAAGGAAAGGGGTAAAATGAAGTGGAGCATTAGAAGAGGGCTAGAGAGAGAAAAGAGTGAAGGAGAAAAGGAAAGGGAGAAAGAGAGGAAGAACAAGAGGGACAAAGCGAAGTATTTGAAGTGGTGGGTAGAGAGAGAGAGAGAGAGAGAGAGAGAAATTGAGAAATGAGAGGAATAGCAAAGAGCGATAAAAGATTTAAACTTTTCTCTCTATAACATCAACAGTTCATCCAAGCTTTCATTAATAGCAAAGAGCGATAAAAGATTTAAACTTTTCTCTCTATAACATCAACAGTTCATCCAAGCTTTCATTAATAGCAAAGAGCGATAAAAGATTTAAACTTTTCTCTCTATAACATCAACAGTTCATCCAAGCTTTCATTAATGAGACGTACTTTGAGCGTTCGGGTGGGAAACAGCTGAATGACGAGGCCCTAACATGGCTTTGGGCTACTGTAGTTTCCATCTACTGCATCGGAGGAGCTCTAGGGGCCCTCGCAGGAGGATACTGGGCTGACTATTTCGGCAGGTAATTACCTTATTGTTTGCATTCCAATTTTTATCTCAAAGAAATAATAGAATCATAAGAACTGTACTTAGATGTTTTAATAATGAATTGTTACAGTAATTACTTGATGGCTTATTGCTTTTTTTTCAACCGGGGTCCCGCAAGACATCTCCTAGGGTGCCGCGAGAGAAATCAATTTGATATACATTTTTTATCCATTTTGATGTAAACGTTTATTTAATGAGAACAACATATCATATTTCCAAATAACAATGTAAAGATAATTAGGCATCTTTTCCCCTAATTCATCACGCTCACTTGCGACATTTAGAAACGGGATGATTCATGAATACCTCCATATTAGGGCAATGAGATGCCAGAATATCTATTTAAACGGATTGTCGAAAATTGTCACATTCGGGCAGCAAGGTGTCCGAAAATATTTTACATTGAAACAAAAAATGACCATGCTCGGTCGCCTCACTCACTCCGAACATTTGACTACAAAACTACATTTTTAATACCATACGAAAATAAGTCATTCTATTTTGATCGCTCGCAAATTTGATAAACAGATGTGTCCGTGCGCGTATGCATGGCACTTGACGATGACCGGAGTGATGCAATAATGAATAATAAATTTAGGATAAATTAAATGGTGACGCGAAAATGTTCTTTTCTTAAAAGGGTGCCGTGACTATAAAAATGTTGAATAACGTTGGCTTAAAGTATCTGTAATGTGAATTAATTAAAGGAATTATTCATGTTTCTAGCTACAATAAGCCTGTCGTTTTCCATCGATTCTTTCCTTCGGCTGTTCCTCGAACAGAACGTTAAATGGAGATCTCGTGTGCAGGAGAATCATCAACTTCCCGTTGAAATTACGCTTCGTCAAGGAGGGGGGGGGGGGGGGGGTAAATCCGCAGTAGAAGTGGTAAAAATGTACATCCCAATCACTTAATCCGGAGAGAAGAGACCAGAGATAGTAGTGATTAAGTTCGGGTTTCCCCTTATACAGGCACAGGGGATCCCCAAAATATATAACAGTACTAAGTACATTCCATATATTATCCCCTTTTTTTTCAACAGAAACCGAGGGCTGATTTACAACAATTTCATCTCGATTGTTGGCTCATTATTGATGGGATGTTGCCAGATAGCTGGCTCTCCTGAAATGATCATCATCGGCCGCTTCGTCATTGGATTCAGTGTTGGTAATTGTGACCTTTGATGATCTTTTGAGTTACTTTCATCTTTCCTTTTTAAACTTCGATTTACCTTTAAACTAATGTTTTTTCTGTCTTAAATATGATTTGAATGAAATGATTATTCGAATCTATCGATGTTGCCTCTGTATTTAATCTTAAAAACTTAAACACCTTTTATGAGCGATTAATAATACAATGACAAAGGAAAGGAAAATTTTAGAGAGTGGATATATAGCAATATTACATTTAGTTTCCAATTACAAGGTTCAATTCTACAATGTGTGCAAAATGAATAACGACAAAGTCTTCGCTCATACAAATTTGAAGATAATTTGTGACACGATCCCTTTACAATTTATATTTCAAACTTGTTTAATTATCAAAAGATAAGTTTGAAATAATCATTCTGGACATGAACATATATGAAAGAATCACTTTCATGCATTGAACCAATAATAAATCTTTACAGGTGATGGGATATTCGATTCATGGACCGACACTTGTACTGAAAACACGGATGGAGTATGAAATTATGTTACATCATTTGATTTGATTTTTTTTTTAAATCCCGTTTCGAAATTGGTATAATGGTATCGTCCTTAAAATGAGGAACTATATCAAAGATGGACATATTGTTCGTAATCAGACATAGAGTTTTTGTAATAATTAGGTTAAGGGTTTAGGTTTGGTCAATGGTTAAAGCAATGAATATGGCCCTGTAGGATACTGACCTCGAAGCAATTGTTGCAGTTGCACGTGTCCACAACTCTTAATTGTCTCTTGCTTCTTCGCAGGTATGTCATTGACCATCGTACCCCTATACCTGTCCGAGATAGCACCCTTCAATCTACGAGGAGCTATCACCACCACCCACCAGCTACTCATCACGATAGGCCTCCTGCTTGCTCAGGTAAATCACAGCTCCCATATGGCCATGAGACCGATCATGTGGAGGTATACTGATTCAGTCGATCGACTCTTAATCCAAGGGTTGAAGGTTCGAATCCCGGCCCGGTATTGACGTCTTTTGGCAAGATAGTAATCCATATTTGCCACTCTTCACCCAGGTATAAAACAGAACCTTTCAATTATTGGCGAAAATCATGTAGCGAAAATCATCCAACGACGAAGGAAAACGCCCTAAAATCCAACAACAGCAACAATGTAGGGGTGATAATAGATGGAGGAAGAACAATATATTTATACTAATGTAGCTATACCCTGGGTAAATAAGACCTACAAATTAATCCATTTTTATGATAATGTCAGGTTTGTCGACAACGTCGACATTTTCCGGCATTCTGACTACTTTTTGCTAGGATACAATAGAAAACACGGCCTACGAGACCAACAGCTCACATGATTGAAAGTCTCGGAGGCGTACTGACAACACTTTTGAGGGTTCACTTGACCGACATGAGCAGTGGCCTTGAGACTGATGGCTGACTAGACACCTCGTGGGCTGTTCGACAACCTTCCTTTTCAGGACTCCTCATTCCTCCCCCCCCCCCTCTCTCTCTCTCACATGGTGCATCCGCAAGCCTACTGTATAACTTCATTGAGCTCACATTGTTATGTATATTTACAAGATATTACATGCCGATTGGAGTTGCAAAAATTTGAGCAGATGCTGGTTTTGAGTAGCATAATCCATTCTGTCGTCGTTTAGTCAGCAAAGCAATACAGAGCCTAGCTTTATAATCATACTTTAATTCAAACTTTCCTTACTATATTATGCAGGTCTTGGGGTTCTTTGCATTCTACGATGAGTCTACGTGGCCGATCGTGCTGGGACTAAGTGCAGTCACTGGTCTCATCGAGTTTATCGTCCTACCTTTCTGCCCAGAGAGTCCACGATGGCTGCTTATCAAACAGAACCAAGAGGAGAAAGCCATCGCAGGTATTGACTAAGCTTATGACTGTTCTAGGACGTTTGCCCCATATTCTACTAAATTTAAAGAAATATGCTGGGTTTAAGTTCGGTCTAAAAGGTTCAACTAATTACTTGAGTTTCGACACCCGACTGTTTAAAGATCTTGCCAAATAAAGAGCAATAGTCTTTTAAGCTAGCCTTCGATTGATGGGTAAATAAGGTTATTTATTTGATAAGGACAAAGCAAATGTATTTTGTAACAAGCTATTAAATATATCATTTAAGGTTAGAGACCATGAAACTTACAGCATACGAAAACAACCGCTCAGGAAACCTACAACGTCACATTAGCCCTCTGACGGACATACAGGACAAACGACCAGCGGGACCGTCAACCCACGAGACCGACATATCAGCCTCATGGGCCTTCTGACAACTTTTATGAGGGTTCAAACAAACCGATACTTTCATTTGACTAGGCTGTCTTTCTTCTTTTTTCTTCAATTTACTGAAATGTCCAATGTATCCGGGAGCAGACAAAAGTCCAGGACATCCTTGAAACAGTGAAAAGAAGGAAATGGAATTGTGCGGGCCACATCAGCCGTAGAAATGACAATCGCTGGAGTTCAGCAATCACGCACTACACACCATATGAGGGAAAAACGAAGCAGGGGACGTCAAAGAAAAAAGATGGAGAGATGAGCTGCAATAGTACTGGAGAAAGGTTAATTGGCACCAACAGGCGCTGAACAGAGGCATTTAGAGACAGCATGCTGAGGCCTTCATCCTGCAGTGGATCGATAACGGCTGAAAAAGTAAAATAAAAAGTAAGAGATGTCCCACTTACTTCATGTTCTTGTATATCTCTTAGCTCTTCGTTTGCTTCGTGGCGTGGATGACGTGGTAGCTGAGGTCGATGAGATGAAGCTTGAACATCAGCACGAGGACGAGACCGAGAAGGTTGGGGTCCTGGACCTACTCTGTCTACGTGACAGGACCTGGTTGATGCCGCTGTTGATCTGTGTTGTCTTGCACGGTGGACAGCAGTTATCAGGGATCAATGCGGTGAGTCCAAGTCTGAAACCTATAGTCCAATTTTTAACACTCCAAGTCTAAAATCAAATGTTACTTAAAACATTTGACATGACCTTTCTTTGTTTTCTCACACACACACACTCTCTCCCTTAACATGTCCGTCCGATCTTTATCGTTCTATCTGTACCTCTTCCACACCCATCCACGCATTATTCATTTCATTCTTCCTCTTCTCCATTGTTGTTTTCAGGTTGGCAAGGGTGGGGTCAGATAGTGGCGGAGAAATATTTTGTTTCCTACATTGATGAATCATTTTATCTAGAATTATCGTAAATTAATTTTATTCATACAACCTATACTCTAGAGACTGTATTAAAAAAACTTAATTCGTCAACTTTCGATTTCTCTTCATTAATGACATTTACACGTCAACGATATTTTGATTTCCTGAGATTGGATTTGAATAGTGTGGAAATAATTTACCTTGAACTTATTCATTGCATGTGGATTAAAGATTCTTATTATAATATCTTTTGTTGAACTATGTTGTTTATTCGATTTGTCATCTCTTTTTCTAGATCATATTTTACTCAACAGAGCTGTACCAATCTGCCGGAATGACAGACTCTCAGATAGCCTACGCCACTGTCGGATTTGGCACCCTCAACGTCATCGTCACTATAATTTCGGTCAGTGCTTTATTAATCATTTGCTTTTTGTGGGTTGGATTACGAGATTTACCGTGCTTAAAGAGAGTGTATCATGGGAAATAATGGTTAACACCGTCTACGTTTTCTTTTGGACAACTGCACGTAAATGAATGGACTTGATTAACTGGGTTAGCGCGCGCTAGCGTTCGCGAAACAGACCGAAGTTCTCCTCACGCTTCGGTTTCGCGTGTGTTGCACTCACGTGAATGCTGCGGTCGCGTCGTCCGTAATCGTATTATGCCCGATTGGCCCCGAGTATTGGCCCACGGGAAAGACACATAGTCTCGTCATGACACACTCCCTTTAACATGTGCGTGGGTGTGAGAGGTTGAGTGTTCATATAGACAAGTGCGTACGAAAACCTGAGAGGAAAAGATGAAGATTAGAAAGATAAGAAGAGGAAGTGTAGAAAGAATAAGAAGCAAAAAAGGAGAAGACGGAGCAGAAGACGAAGAGCAGTGGATGAGAAAGAGAGAAAGAGAGAAAGAGAGAAAGAGAGAAAGAGAGAGAGAGAGAGAAAGGGAAAATAGAGGGGAATATTAATTTGTTGTTGATGTTTCAGACGTCAACAGAATGTAGATGACTATTAACAAAATTTCCAAAAATTCTACCCTAATTCCGTAGGTCCTAGTGGTAGAGCGCCTAGGTCGTCGTCCCCTCCTTCTTTACCCTTTCGGGATGTTATCTGTTTGTTTGGTTGGTCTCACCGTCTCACTCGCCCTTCAGGTACGTTTACATCCTCTAAGATTTACCATATAGTCTTTCTTACTTTCTTTTAAAGGTAAAGACCAGTATTGGAAACGCCCCAATTTCAAAAAATGAAATGGAAGCTCTCATTACCAATCATGTGAAAGAATATGTTTTGACTAATACATGATGATAAAAAAAATTGCCGGGAAACCGCCTACTAATTCATATATTTGGTAAATTTGTTTCTCTCATGGTCTGTGAGAGATATAGAGTAGCCCCATATACATCTTTCTGTGTATAGTGCTTGTAACTTTACGAAGAATGGGCCAAATTTCTTATCATTTTGATGATTCCAGAACCTTGCAGATGCTAGATGCTAGATGATCAACCTTTTCTGATCGATTCCACAACGTTTCTTTCACAATGCAATCGCATGACCATAACTGGTCTTTACCTTTAATCTATAAACAAATCGTTTACTCTGTTACACTTGTTATCGCGCAATAGTTTAATTTTATTCATTCATTATTATTCACTGTTGGAAGTTTAATATTGTAGTGCTAAAAAATCTTTTAACTTGTTTTGATGATCGACGATTGCTTACCTGACTGCTAAGAAAGCAGATATATCCTTGTATTTAAACAAACATGGGACCGATGCCTTAAGTTCTCTCCGAGGGACTTGGTATTGAGGATTAATACCTTACAAAAGGGCGAGACCTACCGGTTATGAGATCACTGCTTTATAACTGAGCCATCGCGCCTTCTCTATTGGTCATCAATAGACAGTTACCATGTTTGACCATATAAAACAAAGAAATTCATAATCGGAAACCTTTTCTTTAAAAGCCCAATTAGAGGCAATCCTATTTTTCTAAAAAGCTTAATTGTCTTTTACACGGATTTGTTTTTTAAATTGACAATTCAGTAATTTAACATTTGTTTGAAAATATTTCCCCACTCGATGGACGGACGGGACTCAACTGCGTATTCTGTTCTTGATATGTCAACATCCTGTTCCTGACAATGTAATGATGAGGAACCGTATCGATCATTTTGACTACATTTCTCTTTTCATTCACCTTTATAATGAATACACAATTTCATAGTTTTAAAAAGTGACATAGTCAAAAGTGATTTTTGTCCTAAGAGTCGAAACTTCATATTCAAGAATTTTAAAGTTTCTGTTATTTTCCATTATTTCTAGGAGGAAAATGACTGGACGAAATGGATGGGCCTTGGTTTTATTTATCTCTATATCATATTTTTTGCTATCGGACCAGGTGAGGGTCATTGATATAAAATTCGTATAAAATAATTTTGTTATTGGCGGATTTTGCCGAGTCAGCTAAAGTAGATACGTCAGTAATATACTATAATGTATTATATACAATATATTTTAGACAGCCGTGAATATGTGAGATTTTAACTTATTGGAAGTGCTATAAAGAGGAAACAGTCAGAACATACAGAGAACAGGATAAAAAGAAAGTCTTTTTAATTAGGGGTGGAGGCTAGTAGGGTTTGTAGAAGTTTATTGCATATTAATATGGTTAGTACATTGAACCAATATTGTAAATCCCGAAAGTAAATTAACTAAGTCAACATTATGGTTTGTCGAAATTTAAGTCAGTGTTAAGATATTACTCAGCAAAACGTGTTTAAAAGAAAAAATACAATTCTGTATTTTATAACACAAAGTTCAATAAATACGTGGAAGTCATTTGTGTTTTTTTGGTGGCGGTATACTGCGCCATGTGTGAACAAGCCTTAAAGGTTATTTTCGTTTTCGTTTTTGTAGCACCCCTGCCGTACGTGGTATCGACAGAGGTGTGGTCCCAGGGGCCACGCCCTGCTGCTGTTAGTATCTCAATTCAAGTCAATTGGTGGGCTAATTTCCTGGTCCAGCTCTCCTTCCCATCTATACAGGTAAGACAAATATTGCACATCAATCGCATCTTCTATCTCTTTAGCACAAGGATGCGACTGATATTAATTGCAAATTTGTAATCAGTCGCAACTTTTCTCATGAGACGGGACCCTGAACGACTATCTCGTGTACTATGACGCTGCGGAAAAAACCCAAGACGACTGCTCCCGGACAAACTCCCGGAAACAGCCCATTTTATAATTTTGACAAGAATAGTATGGATGACATCTTTAAGAACCAAAGACACATGAACTAAAAAAAAAATGGAATTCTATCCAATCTTATCCGGACACCTACCCCCTGGACAATCGTCCCCAGATAACCCCCCCCCAGATAACCACCCCTAGGAAAACCACCTCCTAGGACAACTACCTCCTAGGGCAACCACCCGCTAGGAAGACTACCCCTAGGATAACTACCCCCGGACAACTACCCCCAGACAACTTCCCCTAGGGCAACTACCCTCTAGGACAACTACCCCCGACAACTACCCCCAGACAACCACCTCCTAGGGAAACCACCCGCTAGAACGACTACCCCCTAGTACAACTAACACCGGACAACTACCCCAGACAACTACCCCCTAGGGCAACTACCCTCTAGGACAACTACCCCCGGACAACTACCTCCCAGACAACAACCCTCTAGAACAACCACCTCCTAGGGCAACTACCTCCTAGGGCAATCACCCTCTAGGACGACTACCCCCTAGGAAAACTACCCCCATACAACTCCCCCAGTCATCTACCCCCTAGGGCAACTACCCACTAGGAAGACTACCCCTAGGATAACCACCCCCGGACAACTACCCCTAGGGCAACCGACCTCTAGGACATATACGTCCTTGATATCTACCACATAATGGTAACTACCACTTAACTACCCCGGACAATAACAACTTAGGGTAATAATCAATTTGGGGGGGGGGGGTTGTTTTTCCTAGAGGGTGGTAGTCCTTGGGGAAAGTTTTCCTAAGGGGTAGTTGTCCTAGAGGGTGGTTATGCAGGGGTGGTTATCCTAGGGGTGGGTAACCGGAGGGTGGTTGTCCAGGGGGTAGGTGTCCTACCGAGGGTGGTTGTCCTAGGGGGTAGTTAGCTGGGGTAATCATCCTAGAGGGTAATTGCCCTAGGGGGTAGTTTTCCTAAGGGGTACTTGTCCTAGCCTCGGAGGGTGGTTATCTGGAGGGTGGTTGTCCAGGGGTTAGGTGTCCTAGGACCCTGTCCAATAGCATGTTGATTTACTATTGAAGGCCTATTAATAAACTGTCTGACGAAAGCCACCTTACTGATCATGTTGATGACAAGATTAATTCATTACACGTTTGCAGGGTGCGATTGACGAGTATACTTTCATCATTTTTATCGTCTTCGTCGTCTTGACAACCCTGTTCATCTACATCTACCTGCCTGAGACGAAAAATCGCAGCTTTGACGAGATCGTCACAGGATTCAGAATCAAAGGCAAAAACAAAGAGAATGTTGAGCACGAGATCGAAGACAGATATAAAGCCCAAAGCCTGGCCAACGATGACGAGAAGAATGGCAACGATGTCGAGATGAGATATTCGTACGTGAACAGAGGGCAACAAACAGACGAATAGTCTGTGTGTCTCTCCATGTGCTAAAATATATAGGGGCACTTCTACTTTAGTTGGTGAATATCCTAGATGTTACCATGTTTCCAAGATATAATGATAATTATACAACCCATTTCTTATACAGCGCTTTACCATTAAATGATCAAAGCGTTTACAGTAGTATTAGATGAACACTTGCGTAGCGTAGCAGAGCACATATTAATTTCGTCGGAATTTATCTTTTTTCCCTTTCTTTCTGTATGGATTTCGTTTCTGCGTGTGCCGTCCGTAGTAGTTTATTAATTCAATTATTTGAATTGTATCGTGTTGCTGATACTAATCTTAGCAATTTGAAAACACTTTTAGCAACCATTGACCTAAACTTAGTTCATAGACGTTCGTCAAATCTTAAAACGGACGCACGCGCGCATATACAATAATTGCTTTAAAAATCTTCACAATGGCTGCTAACCCCCAATTATGAAGTATAAATTAGAAATGCGATTTCATGTTAGAATGCTTTAACGTCAACATAGTGTCACTTTAGGGAAACAAATGAATTTGTTTCGATTGGGAAATATTTGCCGCTGTTGTTTTGAATATATCTCGTCTATCTGTACTCTGATGTCCCCAATATTTTAATATATTGTAGCTAAGACTTTACTCTACAAATATACTGGCTTTCAAATTTTGATCAAAAGATGAAATCGTGGTTAACATTCCAATTTAAGGTGAAGACTGCAAAATCTGACATTATTGTTTCTAATTGTACGTGTTATATGAATGGAGGCTGGGAAGATCGAATTTGAATCTGTGTTATTAGATGATCAGAGGCGTAGTGTACCAAATCTCCTATTAAGCTTGTACATAGGCGTGTTACAAGAGTGGAGGGTTGGATCTTTGTTTAATAAAGACCGAATCTCCCATTCTACACGTGTTATTATAGATCACCTGATTCGTCTCGGTGACGAATTCATTTTCTTGTTATTATTACCCCTGTCACTGAAATAATTACTATTTAATAATAATAATAATAATAACAACATTAATAATGCGCACATATCCACCCCAAGAGATGCTCAAGGCGCCTATCAAGGTAAATACATTAAACCTAAAAAAGCGAAAACAATTTAACATAATTAAATACAATTCAACAACGTTAATTACATCAGATTGTGCAATACACTACGTCTTAACTAAGGAATTTAGACATTAGATAGGTTTTCAATTTTTTTGGAACAAATTTTGATTGGCTGACATTTCGATTGAATGGGGTAGGGAGTTCCATAACCGGGGTGCAGCAGCTGTAAAAGCTCTGTCTTCCCAGCTCCTCTTTGTTTTTAATTGTGTTTAATTTGTTGAATTAGAGGAACGAAGACCTGCACTCCCTGGGGAGCATGACAGCTAGCACGTGCTAATCCAGTTTTCATCCTTGTTACGGATTGCTTGCTCCACCCGTCTTCCCATGTCCTTTTCTAACTAAGAACAGATCACACAACACACAGACAGAGTGGTTTAAGATTTGGGAACTAGCATTGTTCAATCTTCGTTTTTAGCTCCGTTCTATAACTAAAACTCACTCAACTCGTCCACAAGACGAGTATGTACAGTGTATGTATAATTATACATCGGTCTATACACCCATCAACAGAGGCGGCCGGGGGGGGGGGGCAAGAGGGGCACAGTGCCCCCCCCCCCCCACTTTTTCAAGCACCCGAAAAGTGCCCCCTTTTACATAGGAAAAACGCCCCTTTTACTTTTTAAGAAGTGCCCCTTTTTACATAGGAATAGTGCCCCTTTTTGACAAGTGCCCCTATTAATTTGTAAAAGTGCCCCTTCTCCTTTTCAACTCTGATAAGTGCCCTTTGTATTTGGACACGTGCCCCTTTTCCTTCGACAAGTGCCCTTTTTAATCTCTAGTAAGTGTCCCCCAGTTAGGTACGAGAAGTGCCTCTTTTCACTTTTGATAAGTGCCCCCTTCACCTCTGATAATTGTCCTATTTAATTCTGAGAGGTACCTCTTTTACTTTGACAAGTGCCCCTTTTCCTTTGTAAGAAGTGCCCCTTCCTCTCTTAATAACCACCTCCATTTTAACTCGGATAAGCGCACCTTATATTTTCACATGTGCCCTTTTCCCTTTCTAATAAGTGCCCCTTTTCCCAATGATAAGTGCCCCATTTAAAAAACAGCCCCTTCCCCTTTTCATAAGTGCCCCTTCTCTGGTAAATGACCCTTTTCAGGTACTAGAAGTTACTTCTTTTCACTTCAGATAAATGCCCCCTTCAACTCCGATAAATGCCCCTTTAAAATCTGATCGGTACCCATTTTCTTACAACTAATACACATTTTCCTTTATTACAAGTGCCCCTTTTTCATTCACTTAAGTGCCCCTATTCATATCTGGTCATTGCCCCTTTTACGATGCGATAAGTGGCTCTTTTCACCTCTGATAAATTCCCTTTTAACAATGATACGTGCCCCTTTTCCTTTCCAATAAGGGACCTATCCCCTTTTCATAAATCCCCCGTTCAAAATCTGATGGGGGCCTCTTTTCCGTCGACAAATGCCCATTTCCTATTCTTATGACTCACCTTTTTCATCCCTGTAAGAAGTGCCCCATTTTCACCTGTGATATTTACTCTTTGTACTTTGGCACATGCCCCTTTTCTTTCTTGATAAGGTCCCCCTTTCCTGTCATCATTAAACGCGCCCTAGCTAATTTCAAGCGACTAAGATCAATTTCCCCCAAAAGCTCGCTCGCTACGCTCGCACGCATCTATAGATGATATACTTTAATATGTAACTTATCAAAGGTCTTTTCACTCTTTCGTTGTGAGAATGTGCTTATATCTCCAATAGGATTGGGTTTTTCCTCTTTGTAAGATGTAATTTATCGCACTGCGACCTCACACATCTTAAAATTTTTCCTCGCTCACTCGCAAACAATTTTTTAGAAATTCAAACCCAACTGCAAAGCAATATCTTGTATGGTGTATAAAGTGAAACAAATATTGAAATCATCCCCGATAATTGTAATTACAATGTAAGGGTATATACCAATGTCTAAAAAATTGTATATTTTCGCTGTGAGATTTCCCTTTGTAGGTGCCCTTTTTATCCAGAAAGTGCCCTTTTTTCTTGGTGCCGCCCCCCCCCCCCCCCCACTTTGGAAGTCGCTCGGCCGCCCCTGCCCATCGCAATCCTACCGGGTACCCAATTAACATATGGGGGGGGGGAAGAGAGGAGCAACGTTTATATAAACAAAATGCCTTGCTCATCAAAGACACAAGTGCGTAACCGGGGCTCACATACGACCTTATTCCAGCAAGTGGTTGAACCACTCGACTGCGACTTTTCAAAGTATTGTAGATTAATTTGTTAACAATAATAGGCCATTTTCGTAACGTTATCAAATTAATGCATAAGGGTTAGATTTGTTATTTTTAATTAAGCATTTATTTTTGTATTTTGTTTTATTTTTGTAACGACAGAATGTCTTATTGTAAGCCATGTTCTATCTAAACCTAATAATTAGCAGCTATGTCGTCTTCTTGTGGATTAATTTGTAAACAATAATAGGCTATTTTCGTAATGTAACAAAAGCGCATAAGGATTAGATTTTTATTTTTATTTAAGCATTGATTATCAGCTATGTTATCTTAGGGACGTTGCGCTTCAAACATTTTTTGTTTATGTACTGTTCCTACTATGTATTATATCTTGATGTAACCCACTGAATGTTATTATCTGTAAGCAATTATTTCATATGGTGAAAAAATAAACAAACAACCAAACAAATAAGTCTTTGTGAAGTGCCTAAATACAAATTATTTCATTCACCTCATAAGAATACTAGAATCCTAACTGCTTACATTAGTTGTTGCCAGGTATTACAAACATTATGGCTTGACTTACCTAGCAACACTAAATATATGCAAGCTTGCATTCTGACTTTTGAAATATTTTTATTCTTATCAGGTGAATGAAATAATTTGTAATGAGGCACTTCACAATGACTTGTATTAAATTTGGTTACATTACGAAAATGGCCCATTGTCGTCGAATCTGTTATTTCACTTTCATATTTTGATCTAACCTCTCGTATGGTTATGAGCTGAATAGAATGGAGAGATGCACCGAAATCATAGATTTTTGTACCATATAATGTTAGCCTGGAATAGCCCATTGAGTTCCTGTATAGAGAAATTAATATCTTTTCACTTGTAACACGCGGAAACTGGTACAGATGACATATCACACACTTTCTTTTGCTGCGGTTAGTTTATTTTCAGGTGCAAGTTACAAAGTAATAATCCCTAGCAATCTGGCCTATACAGAGGACCGTTTCCTCCGATGGTACCCTCCTTCTTACATGTTGTTTGTCAACCCTTGGACTACTGCATTATTCTCTCATTCACATAGGCTTAATACAGGGACCACCCGGGTCCGGTACGCAATGGGTTAACACCTAATATAACCCCAACAGCTTGAAGAGACGACCTCTTTGTCTGCCCCATGAACGGGGGTGCAGTACAGGAGTGAATCTGGCAAATACCTTTATTCACATAATCTGAGTACTACCTAACTGATCCTTACAGTTCCAGAGTGTCTTGCGCCAAACCTTAGTTATTAACATAAATCTTCATAGTACAGGCATATCTCTAACAAGCGAGATGATTTTCTTGGTATATACCCGATTAATCTAGTCAGTGTCATTCTAAACTCACAAAAAACAGTACTCGTTCTTTCAGTACCTTTACACACTCCCTCAAACACATCAGTAAAACTGTCAACTATATTTCGTAACGACCTTGCCCTACGGATATTCCTTTCACATCTTAACAACCACCTAAGATTTGCAATAAACAAAGAAATCGTACAACATCTTATAACAAGCAGAATCTAACATTTTGGCTGGCTACCAATGTTCCCTTTCCGGCCTCTCCGTGAGGTAACAGCAAAACAAAGGTAAAGAGATCAATCCTACCGTTCCTAATAGTCGCCCCCAGGCGCGTACGCAGGGGGGGGGGGGGGGGAGGGTGGGTTAAACCCCCCCCCCTCGAGTGTTTTTTTATGAGTATGTTTTATGTATGTTATTTTTGAAAATCCCCCCCCCCCTTTTTGAGAGTGTTTTTTTTTTTTTTTTTTTTTTAAATAAATACCAAAAAAAAGAAGAAAAAAAGAAGAAATTGACAATGGTTGACCTTAAAAAGGTGACCTTACCCCCCCCCCCCCCCAACTGGACAAAATGTCAAATTTTCAAATTTCGAGACTAAAAAAAAAAAAAAAGTGTCCTCTTACCCCCCGCTTATTCAGCGGCTGGCTGAGTCGTTGCGAAAATTTTGGGCCCGATTTGAAACCCCCCCCCCTTGAAAAAATTCTGCGTACGCCACTGGTCGCCCCAGTATTTCTTCCATGCAATTCCGGTCTCTTGTTGAGGTTTTCGGAATAACCATTAAATACTTCATCCCGGCTAAGTCCAACAGTAATTCCAGCCAAATCCTAGTTACACACCAGAAATCTCAGTAAAAAACAATACAATATCCAACTACTGCGAATAACTGCTGACCCAAAATAAAACAAAGTTTTTAGTTCATGGGCTCCCCTGCTTTTTCAAAAGCAGCCTCTAAAACCAACAAATATATATCATGCATATCAATACAATAAATGTAATATACATACTACAACATAAATTACTTAAGTTACCAAACCTTTAACAAATCTCTTTGCCGAACTTTAAATCTTACAATTTTCAAGTTCAAATAAAGCAAAGTTTTACGTTCATGGGCTCCCCTGCTTTTTCAAAAGCAGCCTCTAAAACCAACAAATATACATCATGCATATTAATACAATAAATGTAATATACATACTACAACAAAACTTTCTTAAGTTACCAAAACTTTAGCAAATCTCTTTGCAGAACTTTAAATCTTACAATTTTCAAGATCAAATAAAGCAAAGTTTTACGTTCATGGGCTCCCCTGCTTTTTCAAAATCAGCCTCTAAAACCAACAAATATACACCATGCATATCAATACAATAAATGTAATATACATACTACAACATAACTTACTTAAGTTACCAAAACTTTAACAAATCTCTTTGCCGAACTTTAAATCTTACAAGTTTCAAGTTCAAATAAAGCAAAGTTTTACGTTAATGGGCTCCCCTGCTTTTTCAAAAGCAGCCTCTATAACCAACAAAATGCATATCAATACAATAAATGTAATATACATACTACAACATAACTTACTTAAGTTACAAAAACTTTAACAAATCTCTTTGCCGAATTTTAAATCTTACAATTTTCAAGTTCAAATAAAGCAAAGTAGTTACGTTCATGGGCTCCCCTGCTTTTTCAAAAGCAGCCTCTAAAACCAACAAATATACATCATGCATATTAATACAATAAATGTAATATACATACTACAATAAAACTTTCTTAAGTTACCAAAACTTTAGCAAATCTCTTTGCAGAACTTTAAATCTTACAACTTTCAATTTCAAATAAAGGAATATTCTATGCAACTGTTCCTTAGGCAAACACAATTTAACCTGAATACTCTAAAAGTAATCCATTAAAAGATTAATTTAAAAAACTACCCTAAACAAACACAATGTATCCCCTTACTTAAGTCTAAATCATCACACTGGTTAATAATAATAATACATACAATTTATAAGGCGCCAAATCCACTTGACAGTCAAATGCTCGATGCTTAAGTAACGACACTGATAAAATATACACCATCGTTGTATCTTATATCTACGCCCATATATGTACACGTCTATATCCGTCTGAAGCAGAGAGTTATATTATATAGCAATAATCACACTTTACTCTAATTCATTCATCACTGCCTCAATCTCTGTGTAATTCATGTCAGTGGTAAATTTATGAAAATGCAAACTCCCAATATGCTTGAATGCTGTCTGTATATGATCATGACATTAGACTAAAACAAGTATTACAAAAAATATCCGTAATTCATGTAATAGTACATGTACATTGAATGAGAATTGTTGTTTAAATACTAAGATTAACATTTTTCCATATCTGCCTAAGGTGATTTTTCTTGATCTGCTAACGCTTTCGAGATAAAAGATTCTTGCAATCAATCATATTTTATTATGGCAATAAAGCAATGAAGTATCGTGATGAGACACGCAGTACTTATCTTTCACTGTATCTGAAATGAGCTGTAAATCATTCTCATTCCTAAGGTAATTCTATACAAGAATACGTACACTTCCTGATAAAAAGAATACACATATTACACACAAATATCCAGAATTATCATAGCGGAGGACAAATAAAAATCATATTGATTAACAGAAGTCTAGCTATTTAGAAGGTTATGTGTTTTAAATTAAAGAGAAAATGGGGAGGAATACATATATATATATATATATATATATATATATATAATTATGAATATTGAAGAAAGAACAAACAACAAAGCAAGACTTATTACAGGTCTTTTATCTTATGACTGCCAAGCAATAAGGTGCTCCCATTTCCAAATATAAACATCCATGATATTTCTCTTCGCCCTCAATGTTCCTCATGTTCTAAAAGTGTGTTTTCAGTCGTGAAATCGTTTAAGCCTGTTTATGCCATCAAGTTGTTGAATAACTAGCAAATGTTAAAAATTAATAAATCGGACTTAAAGACCCTATTCGATGAAAATACAACATGATATAAATGGAAAACTGAATGGATGTAGAATACAAAATTGAAGAAATTAAAAGTATTTACCCATTGACAAGTTAATACCTCATTTTCCATACCCCTCCAAATAACGGGTCAACATGGGTCAGATTTGCCTAAGTTACAGTGACGACATAACATGTGAACCCGACCGGTTCATCAATAAAGCGATGTGCCGTGCTCAATTGATGCAAAGTCATTGTGAATATGCGTACTCTAGATGATGTCATCAAGTCGATAGCAATTTTTTAGGTCGACAACTTCCGATTTTCAAAGCTTTAGATTTAGATTTTGGATTTTCAGAGACCCGATACTCCTCAGCCAGAGACTAAAATGGCATATAATTGACATTATTGTAAACTATGGCTTATAAGCTTTCCGTTGATATATAATTCATACATTAAGTACCTTGTTCATTGGTTGCTTTATCATAATTATTTCCTATAGGAATTAATCTCACAATGTCTTGACCTGCTTTGGTTTCAGGAAAAGAAGTTTATCCATTCTCGGTAAAAGAAATAGAAACAAATCAAGCCTTTTTATATTACCATTATTCACATAAATAGTGGTAGTAGTATAATATCGTTATTTTTGCTGTGATTGTTATCATTGTTATTATTCTTATTCGTATTCTTATTCTTATTATTATTATCATTATTGTTATTATTAATATCATTATCATTTATATTAATATTAGTTCAATTATCATAATCAGCCGCAGCATCATCATTATTCAAGCTTTTCACTGAGACCTGCCGCTCCCGGTATTGAATGGATGAAGCAGAACAAAAGAATAGCCAGTGAGAGACTGAAGATTGTGATGGAGTTGTTAGGGTGTAAGGTGCTACCCCTCCCAGTGCACGGCATTGGTTGCTCTGTGTCATCAGTGGGTTGTATTGGCTGATTAAAGGATGATGGCCAGTTGCCACAGCGTGGGAAATTCTCGGGAACAGGGGGTAGGTCTTCATTGGTACCAACGTGGATCAGTATACTCATGCCGGTCTATTTGATATAAAAACAATGATAAACTATTAATCAAAGTGGTTTCTTTTCACCTACACTATCGCATGTTTGGATGGACTACTAGGTTCGCTACTAGATACTCGATAAACAACTAAATGATCTACAAGCTTGATTTCCTTCAAGTGATGACGATCTCTTTGATATCGAGAGGATCAATTGGGAATCAATGAAAATAGTTTCTTTTTCTGTGCATAAATATCATGTAATGCGTTCTCTAAGTGCTGTTAATAGCCCCTTTGTTTGTTCACCACCACCCTTAGTGTAAAATAAGTAGCACCTTCTGGTGCTAAACCACTGAACACGTGCAGTGGTGCTAAAGCTACGTTGCGAGTACAGCCGCTATAATTATGAGCACCTGATAGGTGTTAAAACCAACACTTTAGATTTTAGAGTACAATTTTAATACTCTTGTGTATTACTTTCCGTAGTAATGTCGTTGTTAAGTTCACACATTTCAAAGGCTGATGGACAAGGCGATTAATTTCACCTTTAAGTGATATAGGAAAGTCTCTGCGAGCGTGTTATAATGTATAGTTATGGATAGTAGTCGTTACGTTAGCGGTAAAATGGGTCCGACCCTCAACATAAGATATACCCCGATAATGTATATAGCAGCATAAGTCCCTCCATCTTTATGCTTTGATTAGAAAGTCCATCGATACTTACAGCAACGTGAAACTCGAGATGACAATGCAGGAACCACCAGCCTGGGTTATCCGCGACAAACTGGATGATGGTATACCCTCCATCGGGCACGATCACCGTATCCTTGAGTGGAGGATGGTCCAGGTTCCGTGGAAGCCCTTCTCCTGGCAGAACAATCACATATACAAAAGTTACAATTATAAGTAACACAAGGCTCGATAGCTCAGTTGGTAGAGCAGTGGTCTCGTAATCCGGCGACCCGGGTTCGAAACCAAGGCGATGCGCTATGCCCAGCCGTTAATCCTCTGGTTGCTTACTAACAAGCATTTATGCTTTCTTAGCAGTCAGGTTGAATAACCACCACCACCACTTATATTTTGGGTAATGACCATGTTTATCCACTTCTTAGAAAAAGTCGATTAGGCACTACATAATACTGTTTTCGATTTTAAGTTTTTAGAATAAGAAATTAATCGAATCCTCCTGAAAAAATCACACGTAGAAAAAACTACACATATAGATATAAGTATATGGGAGGAAAGACCCAAATGTCATATGATTATAGCGTTTGAACTTCTAGTCCCGGGTGATGCAAAAGGATTATTAATAGTAATGATACAGAACTACCTTTGTTCTGTTTGTAGTGATATTGAGATATATAATGACATTACTTTATAGAGCAATCATTTTCATCTCACATTGCTACTCTGATGGAAAGGTAGCAAAGCGATTTCATTGGATTGATAGTGCATTCTGTGTGTATGACAGATGGACAGTCATAGAGAGAATTGGAGAAAGAGATACACAGAAAGGGAGTGAAAAAAGAGAGGGAAAAAGATTAACATAAATTGTGTCTGGCTTTTATGTACGTATGTGTGTGAATGTGTAAAAAGACAGGAGAGAGAGAGAGAGAGAGAGAGAGAGAGGGAGAGAGAGTGGCATATAGTGAATACGTGAGAGTGAGAGTGAGGTATTAAAGTAACATACTGGAGTTGGAGACGTATTATACAGTATTTACCCAGTTTATCAAGTTCCATGACTTCTTGGAGGCTTGTAGAACTGCTCAGCTTCTCTTGTCCTACCACGTAGAAGGAATAACCATGAAGATGAAATGGATGACTCGCATCGAATATCAAGCCCTCGTCGATCAAAACAATTTCTACCGTCTGGTGGAGAAGTATTAAAAAAGAAGAAGACGATTTCCAGTACTTAATGAAATCAAGGTATTTGATAATGAATGATTAAAACAAATATATATATATATATCTTGAGCATATAGAAAGAAGAATTGGATGAGTTAATACTTTTCCTCTCTTTTAGCGATATATTTTTAATATAAAGTACTGTTTAACTATACCTATGCCGAAAGTTTTGAGAGGGGGGTGGAGCTTTGTTTAGCTAATGAAGCAAAAGCACACATAATATCATATTCGTTGGAAATGTGCGTTCTTATATTGTCGCTTAGGTTCTAAGTGCCTTCTTTAACCTCGGAGATTTATTGTGTTGCTTGGCTTTTGGGCAGCAAGACACCGCGTCTACAACTTATTCTCTTACAGAGAGGTTTCATAGTTATGCCTCTAAAGGACACAAGTGGGCGATTTAGCGTCGTTTCCGAGGGAATTGATTTTTTTCCCCAACTGAATTCATAACAACGCTAAAAGAACATTTGTAAGGCACGCTAGTGAAGCAACAATGGTCTAATAAGGACGGAAAATAAGCCCCCTAAAAAGAAGAAAAGAAAACAAGAAACGAACGAACAAGCAAAGAGGTGAACTTACCTCACCGAGTTCTACAGTTAAAACCTGTGTGCACACGCAGTACTCTGTGGCACAGTGCGTCATATTTAATACGTCATAGGCGTCACAAAGCTCACTAGGATCTACCTCGCGTCCCTGGCTAAGAGGCGGGGCCGAAAAGTATTTGAATGACACGTGATTGAGCTGAGTTGAGTAGAGATGGTGCGATCGAGCAATCTCCTCGATAGGGTAATACTCAGGGTCATGGAAGGCGTCATTATTGACCTAAAAGAATGAAGAAGAAAACAGAAAAAAAGAAGAAGAGAAAGAGCTATAAAATTAAGATAACATTTCAAGATGAGAGATCATTTGTGAATATCAAAAGTAAAAAGTAACATAACGAATACAATGACATATTTCGATCATGTCTGGGTCCGTCTTATAAAGACAGTTGCGATTTTTTTTTCTCCCTTAAATTTAGTCACCTCAATCGCAACTGTATCCTAAAGAGATATAACTTTTAAAGTTTGCGATTGATTGAAGGATCTATTGCAAATGTTTATAAGAAGGGGCAAGTATGTAAAATAGAATATTTAGGTATGGTTATGTCGAGTCTGAAAACGTAGAGTCTAGGGAAGTATAGAAATGTGCTATTACGTGCTTACCTTGTAAAAGTCAAAAGCCAGGTAGAAAGTTCTCTTATTTTCTTGAGGTATATCCGAAGCATCTTTTGAGAAAGAAATATGGGAAGACTTAATTTACAAAATCAAGCAGAAATAGTCAATATATTCAATGAAAGAAACGATTGATAAAGAACGTGAGAAAGCTCTGTAAAAGATGAGTAGAAAGAAGAAGAGAGGAGAGAAGACAGTCTGTTATGGCAGTAAAATAAATAATGGATTTGCATTTTATGCCTGAGTCCTGTTGCATAATACGTAACAAGTCTGTAACTTTTACATGAATTTCCGAATGTTGTTTACTCCAAAAAGTAAAGCATATTTTATATATTAAAATACGTATTACCTTGAACACCTTCTGATATCAAAACAATTCAGTTCAGTCAAATGGCCGATGGGTTCGATATGAATAAGTCCTCTCTTAATAGATTCACGTCTGCGTGTTTTTACAGACATGTATCAATAATCAATTACGTCTGGGACCGACCTTAAACGTCACCGAAATGGGACTCAGTTCAGAGTCGGTCTGTGGGGTAGGTCAGGGAGCTGACCGAGTGGACGTACTGCTAGAACAAATCACATCTTAACCTAAAGAGCACTTACCTTTCGATATCATCTGATCATAAGTATAGACTGTGTCTGAGGATGCCATGTTGAGGTCTTGCAGAATGATTCCATCTCTGTCGAACAATTCACTCTCCATTGGATCAGCGCTGAGGGCTCCCTCGTACCTTAAAATGGCTAATTCTTGAACCGCAATGGCATCTGCAAGGCCCTTCACTCGTAACCAGTAGTTGCCGATGGTTTGGTTAGCATTGAGAACAAAGTCGAACCTATCAACCAAAGCGATTCATTTGGTTAAACTTAGGCTGCCTACGGTTATGCATATACATTCATATGAGCTATACAAAACGTGTTGACAATTACAAAAAATGCGATCAAACTTGTTTTCTATCTCTAATATAATTTAACAATAATATTTTCTATATTTTCGTAAGAATTTGCAGGATCTTTCGCTGGACAAAAAACAAGCATTTTGATAAAGACAGTGTGGCAATTAATATGGTTCCAATTTAATTGAGACCTCTGGGTATCCTAATAAAATGATGTTCTCGGGTTCCAATTTAAGGTTTTCAGATCACGAGGAAAAACAGATCTTAAATACTTTAGAGAAGTCAACCTAAAGCAACCTCCATTGCTTAATTCGGTTCTAGGACACCTAGCCCCTGGACATCCACCCCGGATAACCACCCCAAGTCAACTACTCCTAGGGCAACCACCCCGTAGGACAACTACCCCCTAGGACATCCACCCTCTAGGATGACTACCCCCTAAGACAACTACCCCCAGACAACTACCACCGGACAACTACCCCTAAGACAACTACCCCCCGGACAACCACCCCAGACAACTACCCCCTACGACAACCATCCTCTAGGAAACCTACCCCCGGCCAACTATCCTAGGGGATAGTTGGCCGGGGGAAGTTGTCCGGGTGGTAGTTGCCCCGGTGGTAGTCGTCCTAGAGGGTGGTTACCCTAGGGGGTAGTTGGTCTAGGGGTAGTTATCTGGGGGTGGTTATTCGAGGGGTGGATGTCCAGGGGTTAGGCGTCCGGATACGGCTTAATTCACCACATATCGAAATGAAATATTTATATAGCCAATACCACAAGGTATTGAATAACCCTTCAGTTAAGATCTTTGAATTAAAATTTCGTAATTGTGTTGCGTTTATTTTCGGTCATATCTTACCGTTCACCTCCATAGATGACGAACGCGTCCACATCAACGGGTTCGATGTCGCCTCCTTCGCTTGCAATGATGGTTAGATTATGACCATCTACGCTGACTTTCAACGGGGCATTGGTGATCGCATTACTGGCGATCCGAAAGCGGTATCTAAAACCCTTGGATATAAAGATATAAAAAGAAATTTCAAGCATTGGTTTCTTCGTCAAATGACATAATTATCAAATAATTGATAAAATCATTATCGCAGAGGATCTGAGTTTCCAACCACCATATTAAACCATTTTAAAATACATACTCACTCTTCTGTCAATATTTTGCTACTCCGCCACTGTACTATCATACGATTATCTTTAAAGGTATAGACCAGTTTTGGAAACGCCCCAATTTCAAAAAATGAAATGGAAGCTCCTATTACCAATCATGTGAAAGAATATGTTTTGACTAATACATGATGATAACATTTTTGCCGGGAAACCGCCTACTAATTGATATATTTGGTAAATTAGTTTATCTATTGGTGTGTGAGAGATAAACGCACGTGTCGCGCACGTGTGCGTAGTCCCATATACATCTTTCTGTGAACAGTGCTTGTAACTTTACGAAGACTGGGCCAAATTTCTTATCATTTTGATGATTCCAGAACCTTGCAGTACACACCAATACTTATATGCTAGATGATCAACCTTTTCTGATCGATTCCACAACGTTTCTTTCACAATGCAATCGCATGACCATAACTGGTCTTTATCTTTAATGTAATTGCTACAAACTGTTAAAAATTTGTATGAGCCTAGTATGACACAAACGAAGTTCAGTTATAGTTAGTCTATTCTTGAATGAGGATGAATAAATGAATGTGCTATGACTGACTGCTGGAAAACCACTGATCCTTAGAAACCTATAAGGCCTGAAATTCCTTCTTAATTTGAACATAATGGAACCAAATTAGGTTAGATCATATCACTCAAAGAGTAACCAGCTGCCATGCTTACAGTTAACTACAAAATATTGTTACCCTTGTTTACTTTGACGTTATTTGTGTTTTTGTTGTGGAATTTGTGAAATTTGTGTTTTTTTTATTGTGTAATTATTCTTACGATTGTTTGTCGCATACTCAGGTAACATAAACCAGGACAAACCATTCGCCCCACCCCCCTCACCCCCCAGAAGAAAACTTATATATAGATATCTTTCACACCTAAAAAGATACATAGCTTTCATGAATTCACTATGAAGTAAGAACTTTTTAAATATTAGGCATAGTTTATAGATTTTTTTTAATAAGTTTTTTAAGTGGAAATTCTTGACTTTGTATATTTCGTATTAAAAGGTAAAACATTTTACTTGAAAGTTGTGTTTTCATCATACGTACACATATTACCAGCTGCTCCTCACCTGTTTGACGTGAAAGATTTCCCTAGCAGTATACACTGTCTCATTAGACGTCTCATCATAAAACGGCGCTCGCTTTCCTTTTCCATTGATGAGCACAGACTCGGGTCTGTTGGTTCCGTTATCGAAATGATTCGCAGCAAACTTGTCAATCGTCATTTGATCGAGCCAATCATGCGTGAGAATCATGTGCTCTGACAGGTCATAGTCGAAGAGGGCGCTTTGCTGGTCGACCTACGGTTTAATGATAATTATTATAATAATGATAATCATAATAATAACAGCAATATAATTACAATTCTAATAATAATGGCACTAATAATAATGATGATACTACTACCAGGCCTGTGTGCTTAGCACTCTCCTGTATGGCAGTGAGTCGTGGACCCTGTATGCACGTCAGGAGCGCCGTTTGAACGTTTTCCATCTCCGCTGCTTGAGGCGAATCCTAGGCAGGACCACATTCCAAACAAGGATGTCCTCAAGAAAGGAGGCATGGTGACCATCTATGCTCTTCTATCACAACGAAGACTGAGATGGCTTGGTCATGTCAGTCGAATGGAAGACGGCCGCATTCCAAAAGACATAATGTATGGAAAGTTAGCGACCGGGATCAGGGCTGTTGGAAGACCTGTCCTTCGCTTCAAGGATGTGTGCAAGAGGGGTATGAAGGCCTGTGAAATCAACCCTACAAACTGAGAAGCCTATGCTTCAGACCGTCCTGAATGGAGACGCGTTGTAAAGACAGGTATACAGCTAGATGAGTGATCAGAGGAGAAAAGACAACAAAGACAGCAGCTGGCTACGGCTTCAACATCACAGCCACAAATGACTTTTATGTGCAGCAACTGCAACAGGACATGTCTCTCTAGGATTGGACTGTTCAGTCACAGCAGGAGCTGCACACCAAGAAACTGAACTGACTAGTACAACTAGCGCAATATTCTATTGTCTTTCGAGACAGGCAGATGCCGAGGTTGCTACTATTACTACTTCTACTACTACTACTACTACTACTACTACTACTACTACTACTACTAAATACTGCTACTACTAATACTACTGATAATAATAACAATAACAATAATAATGATAACAACAACATTAATGATAATAGAATTAATAAAAAATAATAAACTGCAACAACAAAAATGAAATAAAAAGGAGTATTTTGAGAAGATTCACAAACTGGTCATAAAATATAAATTTAAAGAAATACTCTTTGTTTGAAAGCATTTCTTCATGGTTGAAAAATTATCAACTGCATTACTAATATATTTATAAATGTATATATATGACGGATGTGATTTAAGGATCTCTGACAACATGATGCAAAGAAAAATTTTCATTAAAAGACCAGCAGTAATTTCATTTACGTCAAGACAGTTTAATTATCTAGCTTTTAAAAGAGCAATAAATATTAATGGGAAAGAACCAATTGTAACGGTCACATTATAAAGCATTTTAATTATAGGCTAAAAGTACCCGTTAAATCTACAATTTTACAGTTCGTCCTTCGGCGTGGCAATGATTTTAGCCTTCATACCTATATCAAACCGATTCCAAACCAGCCGATCCTTTGCATCGGCCTTTATCAGGTCCCGACGGCTTAACTGATTATAAGTGTAGAGAATGGACGAACTAACCTCTCGAGGTTCTCGAACGATGAGGGCGCCAAACACACCATCCGCGCGATGCATGCCAGCATGCGCGTGCCAATAGTGCGTCCCAGAAGGATCTGCGACAAACTCGTATCTAAAGTTCGTGAATTCGGAGATAGGGCACTGCGTCACCATTGAGACGCCGTCCATATAGGGCGAGTTTTTCTGATGACAGCCATGCCAGTGGATGGATGTCCCTTCGCCGTTTATCATGTGGTTTGAAACCCACACAGAAATTGTGTCTCCCTTGCAAACCTGTAACCAACAAAACCATTACCTAAGAGGTCAAACAATGTAATCTTCCTCATTTTGCTAAATAGTAGGCTGTAGGCGTACGTTAGATTTAGAAAAGAATAATTCCAGAAGTACAATTTAGCTCGATATAATTTGTGTTAGTGATTAGCGATACAGCGATAGTTTGCAAACGGGTTTGTTCACACGCCCGCCTTTAGCTCACATTGAAATAAGTTGTGCAATAGAGCTACTCTTTGTACTACTTATACCCCATTCACAGTGGTTTTGAAATTTGTAGCGGCGTTGTAGCGGAGCGGCGACACCGCCATAACACCGCTACAAATGCATTCACAGTAGAAAAGTTATCCCGTTGCAGCAGCGGGATAAATATCATGTACCCATTCACGCTGCAGCGGGTGATTTTTATTACCTCCGTAACAAACACGTGTATGCATGGCTCATGACCCGCGAGTGACCCCGATATGACCGGAAATACTTGCTTGAAATTGCGCGGTAAACATGTCAAGTTGCTTTTTGTATCCTCGATCATATTACTTTTTAAAAAACTAGCATTTTTATTGCTTCCAGTCAGAATATTTTAATTTTTTGAAGTGTGAAATATTTTTATTTGGATAATTATAATACCTACATAATAATAAAATCAATTTGAATCCACTGGTTACTTTATTTCTATTTCACTTTATGTTCCCCATTGCTGTAGAAAAGAGGTCAGTGATAGGTAAGTAAACAAATCACACGTGTTTGTCGCGGTGTTATAGCGGAGAGCCTTCACACTGAGTAAACACCGCGACAGCAGCGGGACTGTCCCGCTGCTGTAGCTAGGCGTCCCTAGCGATAGTTTGTGTCGGCGTTATCGCTAGGCGGTGTTATCCCGCGATAGTTTATAACGGGTCCGAGCCTTCACACTGAAGACAACACCGCGACAGCAGCGGGACAGTCCCGCTGCTGTCGCGGTGTTTGAGGCCACTGTGAATGGGGTATTAGTGTCAAGCTGGCCAACATCTCTATTAGTAAGCCCTTGTCGATCGGCATCCATAAGTATTGTGAAGTTAATTGCTCTAGTTAATTATATTGCCTTTTCTGATGGAAATATTCGTGACTGAATCCTAATCTGGATTAACAGAGTTAGGACCAAGCACGTCCTTGCGAAATGCAGGACAAACATGTACGGGGGCTTACGTCGCGGCAAGAACTTGGATTAACCTCGGACAATTCTTCACTCAAAGTCCTAAAGTGTTACAAAGCAGTGGCATAAACATGACATTTAAACCGCCCACCTTTGAAACTCCTCCTATGTGATTAGCTTGGAATGAATGCTGTTCAGTGTGACTGCCTGACACTAATTATGAGTCTGTGGGTAGGAAGTCACTGTCCCTGCAGTAGGGCCATTTACACTTTGTGCGACCGCGTGCGAGATTGCTCCTTGCCTCCCAGAGCTTACTCAACATGTTCTAGAATATATTCAAGTTAATATTGTCTGTTAGGAGCCAGGGGAGTAAAAATTGTACCAATAATTAATATGGCTCTCAACAGAGAGATTAAATTATATTACGATGTTATGTTATTTATGTTATTTGTAGTTAATGTTTATGATATGTAAATTTATTGTTATATTTTAAACAAATGTGAGTCGTAAGACGAGTTTTATGCCTTCCTTCTATTTGTACATAACAATATGGAAATTCAATTCAATTAAATTCAATTTAATTCCAGTGGGTCTTATATTCAGGTCACGCTAAAGAGAGGTTAGCCAAAGCTACCTACTGCTTCTGGAAAATGAGGAATTGAATACGTAGTCTAACGGCATCCGCATGAGGTATGATCATGATAATGATGAATACATTTGGTAACATTGATGATTACGTACCTCAACGCTTGGACCCGGAAACATGCGGTTGACGACGGAGACTGCCCGCGGCACACCGTTCAGAGGGATGCAATGAGGTCTTTCACAGTCAGTCAGGTTGAAGGGACATCCGTAGCAGGCTTTAGACATGGCGTAGAACCATCCCACAGTGAAATTATAGTTGCAGGTCTTGGGGCTTGGCGGATACTCGCAGATCCGTTTGCATTCATGGTCCTTGTAGTTCTCCATGCCCGAAGCTATTTTATGTAAAAGTTGATTAAAAGTGAGTGAGGGATGAAATTCATAGAATGTATGTGGATTTGAATCAGGGAATAAATGTCCGGGGGTAATTGTCCTAGAGGATGGTTGTCGTAGGGGGTAGACGTCTGGGGGTAGGTGTCCTAGGGGGTAGTTGTCCGGTGGTAGATGTCCGGGGGTTGTTGTCCTAGGGGGTAGTTGCCCTAGAGGATGGTTGTCGTAGGGGGTAGTTGTCCGGGGTAGTTATCCTAGGGGGTAGTTGTCCGGTGGTAGATGTCCGGGGGGTTGTCCTAATAGTAGTTGCCCTTGGGGGTAGTTATCTGGGGATAGATTTCTGGGGGAAGTTGTCCCGGGGTAGTCGTCCTAGAGGGTAGTTGCCCTAGGGGGTAGATGTCTTAGGGGGTAGTTGACTTGGTGTGGTTATCCAGGGGGTGGATGTCCAGGGGGTAGGTGTCCCAGAGCCCTTTGGGAGAGCTACATTTATCAAAGTATGATTTCTTATCAGCACTTTAGGTTCTGCATGTTACGTCACATGACTGATTACGATAATCAAATACTTAAATAAAGAATCCAAGATAGTCGCCCTCATAATGCTTAAACGGTAATTTTCTTGAATTTTCGAAGGCATGAGAATCGTATCAGCCCCCCCCCCCCTCCCCCCCCCCCCCCCTTCACGCACCGGACGGCATTCGTGTTCCCAAAATCTCTGGTATTAAAGGTGAAATTCAAAGAAAATCACAAATATGTCAACTAATGTATCACTAGAAAAGCTAACAGATGGCCATCGTACACGTTTTAGGTCAACTACATATCGGGTGAATTTAAAAAATACAAATACAATCACCTTCATAGCAGCTGGGATATACGAGAGATTCGCCGGAAAAATAACGATGTTTTGATGACGTCACTATATGGACCAATACTGCCCAGGCAGACGACATCCCATAAAGAATGAACATAATTGCAAAGCTATTATTTGTCAAATTATAATGAGTTTAGTGTATATAAATGTAATGGCATGTCAAACCATTCAACAGGGGGTATGACCCAATTCTGATAACTAAAATATTTTTCTTGTAAATA